GGCCGCGACCTCTGCCCGCCAACCCGCTGCCGGAACCTTCGGCCCAATCGCAAGCGCGAGCCACCACCCAAGATCCCGGCCCAAGACCAGCCCCGCCGCCGCCTGGCCCTTACGTGGAAGCGCGCCAGCACGTCGGCTGCTATGGTGGGGTAGGCGCTGCCCATGTGTGGCACTGGGCATATGCAGGATGATTACCCGAGGGGGGGTCGGGGCGCAAGGTTGATGTCAGAGGCGAATCGAACAGCTCGCGGCAGCATCGGCGCGCCGCTGCATCGCTTGTTGTCACGGGCAGGTGCTTCCCGTTGCCGGCGCTGCTCAAGGGAGGACGCGGGCGCGCCGCAACGTGCGGCCGCTGCACAAGCGATCGGCCACCATCTCCTGCGCCGCCGCACCCCCGCGGCGCGCTCTTCTGCGTGCTCACCGGCGTTGACGTAGTACAGCGGGGTGGTGATGGTGTACGGGCTGCCGGGGGCATCGCTCGCCGCGTGGTGAAGGCATGCCGCGGGCGCCGGGCCCCGGCGCGAACGGGCGGCCGACGCGGCCCAGGCGGCGTTGCGCCGCGCGGCAGCCACGCGCTTGAACCGCAGCGCACGCAGGCACGCAGCGCGCCCGAGCGCCATGCTGCCGCAATGCATGTAATAATTGAACCAAAATCTGCCCAATGTGCTATGCCTTGATGGGTCCCGCTTTGCTGCACGGGGATTGGAAAATCGATCTGAGTTACTCCGAACCTGCTGATGGCGAAATGTACGCGCGCGCGTTCGAACAATATACACAGGCTAATGTGCTTTATTGAAAATCACTCCACCACATCTGCATGTTTGCCCGCACCTGGCCCACACTGACCCACTCGCTGTTTCCCACACTGCAAGCAAGCTCCTTTGACAATCTTCGGGGAAAACGATGGAATTCGCGTCACCATCTAGAGTCTCTCGAGGTCTCATGTCGCTCGTCTGCACAGCCCGTTGTGCAGGTCATCGCAGTTGCCCCTGAGTTGCTGACGTGAGGAGATGAGAGTCAGTGCTGCGCGAGCAGCGCAACCTCGCCCTCTGTGGTGGGTCATACAGGGGAGTAGTCAGCTCCCCTCTCTTGTCCCCTCTTCTGCAGGTTGCACCATGCCGGTCAACCACTTAGTCAAGCTGCCCCTTGCGCCTGATGCAGTCAAGACCTGCGATTTGACGGCGAAGTTTTGACCCATGACTAAACCACGTGCATTGAGTGCATGAACAGGGGCATGTTGGCACAGACCAATCACGATGCCGTTGTTCGATTCTGGATCAGCGCAGGAGCAACTAACTCCGTGCTGCTTGCCCCTGGGATGCCGCTGGCAACGCAGCGACCATCACAATGTGCATCGTAAACGGTATTGCGCAATTATTATCTCAGGTTTCTGAACATCACCCCAAAGCAATGACGAGCTCGCATGCTGCCTGGTGCTGCTGCAAGGCGAGCTGCAGCAACCAGGCCCCTTGGACCACGACTGGACGTAGTCATCATCATGATGCACACGGGGAGTTCACCTAGCTTGCGTTTGAAACATAAGCTGCACACTGGCCCTTGTGCGCCAGGACGCTACGACACGCAGCCCCAGGCACACCAGCCGCTGTGCGGCACACAGGGTCAAATGCACCAGCTTGGGTATCTTAGCTATCGTGGCGTAGTCGTGCATCTTGTGTGAACAACGCTAACAAAGCCTTGAAGACCAACCCCACACCCTTGCTACAGCGAGCTGAAGAGTAAAGCTGACCGAGTGTTGGAATCGTCGAGGCTGAGGCAAGGTGGACCTGGCTGGTGAAAGGGCTGCATCTGCAGGGGCATGGACGGCATTAAATCAAATTCAATGCCGGTGGCGACAGCGCCCCAGCCAAGTCTGCACCGCTTGGGCGTGTGTGCTGATGAATGAGTGCAAGGCCGTTGGCGCAGAGGGCGGACAGCCGTCACACTCAAACAAAAAGGCGGGAAGGGCGCAGGGCACAGGAGGCGCCCGCCTGACCATGCAGGCGTGCCGCTTGACGACGCGCTGGCGCCCGGACCACACAGGCAGACTAAGGCACAAGGACAAATGTGAAAGGGATTCAAGGTTTCTTGCTTTGTTGCCGTGCGTGGACGTGGCATTGCTGCTGCGGTCGTTGAATCCTGTACATATCAACAAGATGTTCGATTCCATGAGATGGAATGGCTCCAGTAATGGGCAACCTCGGAATTCGATGGAGCCCATTAGAAGTCCCAATCCGTTCTGTCGATGATACCTGCGCTGGGAGGGTATAGTTGTTACCGTGTACAGTACATGGATTTGTGTGGTACGCCCGTGGCCATTGGCATTGTCAAATGTTTATAGGCGACGTGAAACACCCTGTGCGAAGGCTCAGGTGCCCGCTATTGCAAGGCAATGTCGCTGACCTTGCCTCGAACTTGCCCTGCTGCGCCGACTTGTCAGGCTTGCCCTCAGTCCGGATGATAATGCAGGGACCTCGCCAAAATTTTATCTCTTCGGGTGCTGCGCCGGGCCCAAAGTGCTGCCGGGCTGCCAAGCGACCTGCAATCGCCCGGCGTGCTTCCGAGGGATCCCGGGGACCTCCGCCTTCCTGAAATCCCGAGGGACTGCCGAGCTGAAAACGCAAATTTCCTTCATCATTACTCTCCCTGAGGATATCCCAAGGAGATTGCTTGTACGAAACAGGCATCACCCGCTCCGGTCATCTGTGTGTGCGCCAAAGTCTCAGCCTGGAACCAAACCACACGCTTGTACCCTTATGCCGCTGCCTTGGGGCCGCCAGCGTATCTTTGGAGCGCTGGAATCGTTGGAGGACATGGCGACGTCCTTTTTCCAGGGTGGCCAGGTGCGGTGGAAGCCCGCGGACCTGCCACGGGCCCCTCCTGTTGCAGCGCGGCCCCTTGCAAGGCTCCCGAGGCATCGCATGCCGCCTTTTAGTACCGCCAGTCTGTTACATGTGCCGCTGGACCTCACTCAAGAGTTGCTTGTCTGACCACGCTCCCGCCTCCGCGCTCCCGCTCCCCCTGCCGCACCCGCATGCAGTCCCCGCGCCGTCGCGCGGGCGAGCGCGTGCCGACCGTCACGCCCGTGCAGATCAACTCGTCTTATGCGCACACCCGCGAGGAGCTGCAGCTGTTCCAAGAGGATCTCGCGGCCTGCTCTCCTGAGGAGCACCTCAGCCGCGAGGCGGCCCTCGAGGCGGTGCGCACGGCCGCGCATGCAATCGGGGGGCAGGGTTGCAACACGCGCGGAGCCGCGCGGCGCCGCATGCGCCACGCCGCCCCTGCTGCACCATCTCAAATGCATGCGCTCTCTGCATGCGCTCCCTGCATGCGCACGACTACATGAGCTGTCTTCATGCGCGCGAAGCACGGGATTTAGGGTTTAGGATCTTAGGGTTTAGGGCCTAAACCCTAAACCCTGACAGGTCAAGGTGCACCCTAATGTCCTCCATGCTGTCTGCAGCAACCCTGCATGGGGACTGCCCCTTGGCGGCCCCCCCAGTCCTCCCCCCTTGGACAGCAAGCAAGCAACCCAAACCGCTCGCAACTCCATCAACAGTTTCGTGACGGCACAATCCCCTCAGCCTGCTTTGAGCTCGGCGGGCGCCACTGGCATCTGACTGCACGCAGGGGTGCAGGCGGGCGCAGCGTGCTGCACCTGGCCACACCGATTGCAGCCTCGCCCGACGCATCGGGCCTGTCCCTCAGTGCCGACGGCCTGGACCGCCAGCTTGTCGCAGCCGGCTGCCGCACCCCCAGCAGCGGCAGCGGCAGCCCCTGCGGCGACGACGGCACACTCACCATCGAGGCCAACGGCGCTTCAGGGAGCGGCAGCGACGGCAGCAACAGCGGCGCCAACGGCAGCAACGGCGGCGGCGGCGGCGGCGTCGGGCACAGCCGCGAGTACGTGCACGTCCTCTTGGTGGCAAACAACTCCAAAGACAGCCAAGCGCGCTACAACGCAATCTTCGCGCTCATAAACCACTGCAAGGATCGCTCCGTCGCGCTGAAGCCGGGTGACGCCGCAGACTGGGGCCGCGATCCCGCGTGCCTGCTGCTGTGCGAGATCTTGCAGGTGGGCGAGGCGCTGGCCGCCTTTTGCGACGCGCCTCCCGTCCAGCGCAGCGGGGAGGCGCGCGCAGTGCTGGCGGCCGACTACAAGAGGCTGCTCTGGGACTACACGCACCACCTGGGCGCCGTGCTGGTGCCAGGCGCGTGCTGCGGGGCGGCGCCGGAGATTGAGGTGGGCCGGCTGGTCGCGGCTGCTGGGCACGGTGGGTCTTATCTGTTTTGCAACCGCGCCTGCCGCCTCATATATAGGTGATGGCAGCGCTGCGTCGTGGCGTGATTGTCGTGGTTGGTTGCTATTCCAGTTGTTAGCAAAGTGATGCACACCGGCTACTTGATGAGTTGGGCGTCAACCAGCCGCCAACACTGACTGACCACTAGGCCAACACATTAGGTACACGCACGCTCACACACGCACACACACACGCACACACGCACACACGCACACACGCACACACGCACACAC